GGTTGTAACATGGGGTATTTTACCAATGAGGGACTTCATTAAAATGAATTAACTATGATTAATCACAGTGAATATCAGTTTCACTATCCGCATCCTACCCTGATTGCTGTCAAAACTCTTGAACTGAGAAGTAATTCAAGTGTAACCTGTCTGATAAAATTAAACAAGCGCAAGAACTGATGAGAAACAAAATCATTGACATTTGCGATTTTGGAAATGGTTACAAAGTCCTTTCTAAGGCTTTGGGACTCCAGGGAAACCAAGGTAAGAGCCCTTATCCACAAAAATGGAGAAAACTGTGGCGAACTTTCAAACTTTCTATCAAATGATTCTAATAACACATTGGGTCGTGACCTCCTGGATAAGGTATCAGAATCCAGAACAACATCTCCAGGCCTCACTTGTCTCAGTTAAGGTTAGTGTTCTTGATTCAGCAATGAGACACACACTGGGAAAAAATATCCGAGGGAGAGTTCCATAGCTGGCCAAAATGAACACAAGGCAAAACACATTTTGATGATACACAAGACTTTTGGGGAAATATTCTGCAGACTGGTGGGACAAAACCCTTGAATGTGCCTGAATGAAAACAATTCTGCCAAAAAATTGTGGGCCAAAGTTCCTCCACATCAATGTGAAAGACTCATTGCCGTTTATCACAAGTGCTTGACCCTTGCTGCCAGGGGTGGTACAACCATCTCTTAGGTTTAGGGGGCAGTTGATTTTTCATATAGGACCACGAAGGTTTGGCTAGCTTTTTCTCTTAATAAATGAAATCATTATTGAAAACCTGGATTTTGTATTTACGCAGATTATTTTTGTCTAATGCTGAAATTGGTTTAATGTTTTGAAGCATGTAACTTTGACAAATATAAACTACCAGTCAAAAGTTTTAGAACACCCCAATTTTTCCAGTTATTTATTACAGTTCATGTCGTTCAAGTCCAATGAATAGTTTGAAATGGTACAAAGGTACAAATGTTTGTTTGTTTGTTGGTTTTAAAGGTAAGGTTAACCAAAAGTGAAAAATAACAGAATTATACAAAAAGGCCTTTTTCAGGGAACACAACATAGATTAACAATTTAAAGCTGTTCCTCAGCAATAGAGGTTGATCAAGCCTTGAAAACTACAGTATTGTACTGCAGAGGAGTAGTGTGTTGCTACAAAAATGGTGAGAAAAAGGCAATTAACAATGAAAGAGAGACAGACCATCATAACATGTAGGTGTTTCCTACAGAGAAATTGCAAAGAACATCAAGGTGCCTGTAAGTACAGTTTTCTTCACCATCAAAAGTCTCTCAGAAACAAACTAACAGGAAAAGGTCTGACAGACCCAAAGCCACAAGTAAATCAGAGGACAAGTTTCTGAGAGTTAACAGCTTGCGTGATAAGCTGCTCACAGGACAACAGCTTCAAGCACAGCTTAATAGTGGTCGTAGTAAGCAAGACTCAGTTTCAACTGCGAAGAGAAGAATTCCAGCTGCAGGTTTGACAGGACGAGTTGCAGCAAGAAAGCCATTGCTAAGACGTCATAATAAGACAAATAGGCTTGCCTGGGCCATGAAACCCTGCCAATGGAAGACTGGAAGGAGGTTTTATGGACTGATGAATCAAAATTTTGGTTCAAATCTTCGGTTCATCACACATTTGTAAAGACAAAGTATTCACCACATTCCTGCTTTGTTGGTAGTGGCTCCTGAGAAGCAATTCTACAACCAATCTGTTTGATCAACACTAGTTAATCTGTGACACCGGTTAATACAAAATAACAGTCATGCTGCCTCTTTATTTTACATTTTTGCTTATTTGGTGAAGGGGACCCCTTCCTTGGTGATAAATGATCCTTCATATCATGCGTCGAAGGTGCAGACACAAATTAATGTATTCTCACAAAACTTTAGTTTTGTGAGAATACATTAATTTGTTGGAAGGCCTAATTACAAACCAATCAGTGTATATTTATAATTACAAAGTATAACTTAAAGAACAGTCAGTTGTTCTTTAAGTTAGAAATAGAACACTGAAGCCTTTGTAATGACGCCTTCACCTAAATTTTACCTGAGTTACGGAATAAGGTGGACAAATGAAAAAAGGTGGCAAATTGAAATTAGCGTGTCTTCTCATGCTCTGTTAATTTTTCTAATCCTGTGCAATAATTCATGCTTCTTAAAGATGCACTGATGTACCTAATTAAAGATTGATTTTGCCTGGGACGTATGAACTGCCCACATTTTTAATTTCCTCACCTGAGCAGAGCCTGAGAGTAGCTATGCTATGTGGCTGAACATTTTTCAGCTGATCCAGCTACACTCTGTTCTCCCTGGGTTTATAGATTACTTTAACTGGCACTACTTTAATACAAAAATTATTAAATAATGTCAAGCCTTTTATTTGGTGCTTCACTCACAGGAGAAAAGGAACTATGAAGGAGCCAATTGGCAGCAATCTTGCAGTTAACATTCTTAATGATAAGTGCTCCATCTGGCAAGTGGTGCTGAGCCAAAGGCGACAGATGGGATTGTTTTCACAATCTGTTTAAATATGTTGTCAATTTTTCTTCCCCTTTTAAACTCTCTCCAGCAGCTCAGACATTTGCTTGAAATAAGGTGTTTTCTGTTTTCTCACACTCGTATTCAACTTATGGTTTCCTTTTTTCTGTGAGAAGAATGGACACCAGAAAGGTTTATTTCTATGCTTGTCCACTTTGTGGCATCCACGGGTATTTCATCCGTAGTCGCTTGAAGTCATGGAATATCATTCGCTTTTTTTGCTTTCTAGTCACCATCTTTGGTTTCTGGTCATTGCTTCCAATGTAGCTTAAGGGTTTACCAACAGTGCTGTGAATGAAGTTGCGAAATAAAAGCATTTAATTCATCTACTTGGCTGGCTCACAGTCTAAACCTTATCATTTTTTTTTAGTAACACCCCCTCTGAATGAAGTTTTTTCCTTCTAAGTTAATTGAATTAGCCCCCAAGAAGAAACTGTATGAAAATGTTTCTATATGAAAGTAGAATACTTTTCATTATATGTAGAAGAAATATATGTATGTGTGTGTGTTTGTGTGTGTGTGTGTGTGTGTGTGTGTGTGTGTGTGTGTATATATGTGTGTGTGTGTGTGTGTGTGTATATATATATATACATAGAGGCAGACTGATATTTTTTTCCGTTTTTTTGCAGCGCTTCTAATGTAATACGTGCATAGAGAGCCAAATGAAATGATTAATGAACCCAGATTAATCCTTTTTCCAAAACATCTTTCTCTGACAAACTTTGAACATTAATACCAATTTCTCGTCGTAACAGACATAAAAAAAAACAAGATTAAACACAACATAAATATAACAAAGTGCATAACTTAATAAAATTATTACGATATGACCAAATATCTTACGAAGGTAAAAGCATATCTGAAATCCTAACCAATGCATTTAAATTAAATGAAAATAATTTGAAATGCCATGATTTAGTCATAATATAATATATATACTTAAATAAGATATTTCAAAAATGCTATATATTTAAAGTTCCAGTCCATGACTTGTTGAAAAAAGTAACCGCATGTGGCTCCTTTTTGGCACATTTGACACTGACCCAATGTAAAATTTAAAAGAGGAGAAACAATAATGACATAAAGTTTCCATGTGCCAGGAATTTTATCTCTTAACAAAATGATGTTAATCATTATATCATCCATACTTATTCATCTCCTTACTGTTATGTGTTTATGGTCACTGTTATAATACAGCGTGGACTGTGAATAGATACCCAGTTTGTTTGATAAAGACAAGGGAAGATACTGATAGAAACAACTGTTCATCTATTATTGTGTCAGATTGTGTTTGTCTATGACTATAATTAGATAATGATCAGACCCCGTACTGTCAACTGCTGCAACAAAAAACAAAACCTACAGCAACTGGTACACAAAAATTAGAAAATGCACAGATACATAAATCAACAGTCTTCTTGTGTGTGTGTGTGTGTGTGTGTGGGGGGGGGGGGGGGGGGGTGAGCGAAACTGAGTGTCTGTGTATGTGACTTTGTCACGAAGTGTATTTGACAATAAGGGTGGGAAGCCGCAATGACAGCCCCCAGGAGCCGAAGGCAGATAGAGATAGATTGAGGAGATCAACCCATCCGCAGGCCCCATGAGTACCGAAGACCTGAGGCTACACATTTTGTCGACAACTGCGAGTCTGTCCGAGCAGGAGGTAGACCTCAGATGGGGTGCCCATTGCCAAAGGGCGAGAGGCAGCCAACCCCGCTAGAGGCTCGTCACCCTAGCAACCAAGAATTGCCCAGGACTTGGCAGAGTCCCGAGCCCCCTACCTCCACCACTCTCCCACGCAGAAGAGGTCCAAGAAACCCAAGACCACCACTCCTGAGAGAGTGGGTCAACGACCACAGCAGAACATCCACCCGCGCTCCCTGGAACCAACAAGACCTGTACCTGGGCAGCAATGCTCACCTGGAAGCACTAGGGAAGGATTACCCCACCCTCCATGACCACGTCCCCACAGGGGCCAAAGCTCAGAACCGAACCAGGACCCAGCCAGATCAGTCCACAAACCACCAAGGGTGTAGGAAGACACGTGTTTGTCATTTCAGTACTCTTCCATAGATTTCATTTCAAGACTCTTTGAGTTCCTTGTCTTCATGTTATACAATGTCTCTTCTTCAAGCTACCTTTGGCAGCCCCTCCCTGTTCCTTCAAGGACACAATCTAAGGCAAATGAAATGAACCAAGAATGCCACATTGCTTGAAAGCCTTTTATAAAGCAACCAACACCTGGATTACTAAAATTAATTTCTTCTCTGATCTGGATTTCAGCAGAGAAAAATCAAGCTATAAGGTGTCAGACAAGGCTTTGACCCACCCAGAAATAAAAATGTCTTAATTTCTTCTTAAAATTATATTGTATTGTTTTGTATTTTGTATGGCATTACCATTTCAACCATTTACAACCGCTCGGATTTTTAATTTATCTTTTTAAATAGAGAACCAGAGGGCAGAAGAGGAAGAGAGTTCCAGTCTGTGAGGAGCGAGAAGATAAAATTGAGGTTTGTTGCTTTATTTCTCTACGGAAAAAAAGGTATTGTTCTAAACAACATGTTCTTGAGAAATTCAGTTAAACTCTTCTACCTGCCCATGTTTGCTTCTTTGTCGCATTCTGTCATTCCAGGGTTTTTTTTTGTTTTTTGTCTTTTCTTACTCATATTTGCCAGTATTGTTCCTCTATTGAAATTAAAAAATAGTTAATTGTTTCTTCAAGAAGAATCCTACTGTTTAAAGGAACTGACTTTCCTCACAGTACAGATTTCAATACATACTTTAAGAATGTAAGAGGAAGAATGCAAATGTTTTTAAGCTTTTTTTTTTTCTCTCTCCTTTGCCAAGTTTGTGATTGCGAGACTGACAGAAAAGGTCAAGCTGGGCTAATAAGACCAAAGCTGTTTACCCCTTAGCTTAAAACACTGGTGAGGTATTGCTGTCATCCTGCCGGGCAGGCAGTGGGCAGGTGAACGCCTAATTTGTAAATGCATTAACTTCAAATAGATATCACAGGTATATCTATGACAATGTTGGATGAGTTTGAGGTCAGAGAATCTTGTGACTGTGATAACTCAAGAAGGAAGTCAACTAGAATTTTGAGATTGATACTATAGGTGCATCTGCAAGGAAAGTCCAAAAAGAAGTCTTGGACAAATCTCAGTCACTTTGACCTCAAAGTCAGAGGTCAAGTGTTATGAAAATCTTGTGAACAAGGCAAATGTGTGTCTACTAGGAGACTGAGGGGTAGATCGGTGTATCTGTATTCTTATACACAAGATTGTACAGTGCACAACTTGATGTGTTGGTGTTTATTTTTAGAATTTGTTGTGCTCATGACAGAGTTGTAGAAACTTTTGTACATACACAGTTCAGTTGATTTTAATGAACACGTTAGACAGCCCTGATTCTGATAATCACTGTTTAATAGCAATTGCCATTGTGCTATGTGCAAAAATGAATTCAACTATTTTGGTTTTGGGATGCTCATGGATGATTCCAAGTTCTGAATGTTGTCTCAGGTACGTAATAAACTCAGAGCAAATATTCCTATAGGCTGATGGACTCATTTCACAAAAACGTCATTACTACTGGCATGTTGCTTTAATCTGATCTGTCATGTTTCCTAATCATGGTACAGACTTTATAGTAAAGTTGCATTTTATAGCAACTAATGTTGAAAAAACAATTCATTAAGTTTTTTGTGAATTTTCTGAGGTTTAGGTATGCCTTAAACAAGTAAAGATGCAAAAAATTTTGTATTTTACAGGCTCCAAGATATTAATGTTTATGTCATTTTTAATAACACATGCACAGATAAAAGGAATTATGTTCCTGTGTATGCTGATCCATTAATGTGACTGCTTGGTTCACATTTGTAATCAGTGAGGAAGGACATTAGGGAGATTAGGACAAAGTGGACACACTTGGGAACACAGCTGAACAGAATCTAACTGATAAGAAGCAAAACTGAATATCATGCACATGAGACAGGGGACTATGAAAATAAAACAGGATATGACCAATAAACATGCTGAGACCCAGGCTAAGATGTTTGAACGTGACACAGGGACCGGAGATAAACAGATGACTGATTACCACAGGAAACACTGAGGACAAGAGACAGAGACAAAACTAGAACAGACTGGGCACGAAACAGAAATAACACAATCATAAGAGCACAGAGGACAAACAAACTCAGAAATGCCAGGGAACAGTGTAATCCTCAAAGGACAAGATAGTGAACTAGAACAGTAAATCATCTCAGATCCAAAAGAAATAAATCACAAGTCAACAACAAAACTCAAAATACTGGGTCAAAGACCCAGGACCACAACAGTTAGACACGATGTTTTTACCATTTTAGGGGTGAGTACAATAACCAACTTCAGTTTTATCTGAATTTAGAAGCCAGAAATTAGAGGTCATCCAGGTCTTTATGGCATTTATGCAGTTTAACTAATTGGTGTGTGTCAACTGGCTTTATGGATAGATAAAACTGGAAATCATCTGCATAGCATCCATACAGCTGTTTTAGTAGTTAATGTAAAGTTTCAATAGGGCCTTGCCCCAGTTATCACATTCATCAGTTATATTGTGGAAATAATGCTTTAATGTACTTCACATCTTTCCCCAGTTTAATACTCATTATTTTTTACTACTCAACAAGCACTCATACAGGTCTCATTCCTAATCAGCCTTGTTTCCATAGGAACCTCTGCCACGGGAACGGCGACAACGCCAGTCTGCAATGCAGAAAAAACCAAAAGCTGATGACACGAGGACTGAGTGTACAACCTGCAAAGGACCAGGCGACAATGAAAACCTTGTGAGGTGAGGTAATGCAAGTGTGTGTGTGTGTGTGTCTCAGTCTCAGAGGTTATTATTTGTGTGTGTGTGTGTGTGTGTGTGTGTGTCCCATGACGCAACCATATCCTCCTGATGATTAAAGTTCAGTCTTCATTAGGCTCGGGCTGCCTATGCTCTGCAGAATGAGGGGGTTGACGATTTCTTCTCCATAGGCGCTCTATATTGACCTGCCACATACATTTGCACAGTTCATTAAGGCATAATGAACAGCAGAATTTCCTCTACCCCTGATGTCAGGTGTCTAATAAACAGAATTCTTCTTGGCATTTGGCATTCTATGAAAAAAATAATTTAAAAAAAGTTGGTAATAATGGGGACCTTGTCAGGACATTGCCCTGTGATGAAACCCTCAGATTTTTTTTCCCAATTATTCAGACTTCCCACTGAACACAGTTCCCTTCATGAACATTGTCTTGTTGTTCTAGAGTGCACATAGACTTGTAACTTTAAGCACCTTATCAGTTTTTAAAAGGTTATGTTGAAATATAACTTTAGCCGTTCTATTGTAAATTCAAAGATGATGCATGAAGTCACTTGTGTTTTTCATTCATTTTTGTAAAACATCTGTCCTAATCTGCGGGTGTTTGTTTGTTTGTTGGTGCAAAATCAACATTTGCTTTTTTTTTTTTCTTTTTTCTTTTTCAAGCTTTTGGATAACTTTAGAAAGGGTTCAGCATCAATCTGTAATTCTGCTACAGTTTTATTGCAGTGACTAAATTATAAATTCTCATCTCTTCTACTTTACTCATTGTTTCAGTTCCATCATTGATTTAAGTCATTCAAAAAAAGCTTGACACTCAGTGGTCTCTAGTGTGTACCGCTCTTCTTTTTCTTTACTCGGTATAAATAATGTGGATAGTGTGAATTACTATGTGCTCTAGAATTCACTGTCTTCTTTTCAAGATCAGACAAATAGTGAAGCAACAAATGCACATCCTTTAAATTAAAAAAAAGTGCAGAAAATTCTATTGTGACTATTAAATACCCCAATGAGTGACAGGAAACAAAGAAGAGTACAAACACTTTTTTGGTGTTTGGATTCTTTTGAGTTGAAATAAAACCATCATCTATCATCCAGCACTTGTACTGGGTTGATTCAGGCATCCTATTAGTAACTAGAGTTTTATTCAACAGTTTAAATCTTTAATGTCTTTTCTTTTGCAACAATCTGCTAAGTAGTGTCTGTAGTGTAAAGTATCACACTAATGTAGAATAAATGTTACAAATATTAGTTTTTCATTCACATTGACATGTCAAATACCTTTTCAGGACCAGTGTCATTTTAACAGATTGGAATGAGCTCAGCACTTGAATACTAAAGTATTTGTGTGTTATTTCTGGTGCGCTTGAGGCAGCATTTGAGTTTCAGGGGTTCTGGTCGGGGTGTGAGGTGTGCTGCCCTGACTCTTTCTATCTTTGCATTGCACAGGTTGTGAGAGCTGGGGCAGCTACCTCACCTCCCATAAGAACTCGGGACAGATGACCGTTGGCTTAGAGAGAGAGAGAGACAAATTGAAGCATTTGAAGAATGGCAGTCAAGTCAGACTGAAGAACGAGACCATCACGCCGCCCCACAGCCACCTCTGATCCAAACTGGACCAACGAAATTGAGCAGATCTGTGTGAATCTAAAACATGGATCCCTACATGATGAATTGTTGTCAGACACAGTTATATTTCATTTTATTACTATATTTTTATTAGTGTTGGACTCTCAACTGCTTGCACATATGACCATTAACTTATCTTATTATTTGGACACAGCTGCATGCAGCAAGACATGTTAGGATTTAAACACTTTTGACGACTGACTAAAATACATGAGCAAAAGAAAAAAAAAAAAAACAAGTAGAAAATGACAGCGTTTACTATTAAGCCACCTGAAATTAAGATCTGTAATACATTTGAGTTATCTTTAATGGTTTTCATGAAATATTGTCATTCCTTCTTTAATGTGTGCTGTATTTCCTTTTGAAAATTGTTTTAGATTAACATTAGACAGTAACAGTGAAACATGAACACCTGTATTGCTCTGTTCATTAAAAAAAAAAGAAAAAAAAGAAAGCAATTTAATGCAAAGTTCAGTTGCCCACTTTGTGGCTTCCTTAAGATTGATTTCAAGTATAATCAGTCGAGTAGGATAAAGCTTTCTCAATGAATAAAGCAGCTACGTTTGTTTGGTTTAGCGTTTAACTTCTTAAAGGAAGTCCTGTAGTAAGCTGAATGTGCTGCTGTGGAGCACTTTAGACTATATCTCAACGTAACCCTCTCTATGCCTCTAGGCGTACTCCTGAAACCAGCGTTTCGACATGCTTTGCTTTGCTTCTACTCTGGTGTGCCACACATTTGACCTGCCTGTGTGACCTATCGGTTCTGGTCAATGGTGTCTATTATTAAATATGGTTAACTGGAAACATTCTTGAACGTGGGCTTTTCTAAAGTTGATTGTTGTGTTGTGTGCTGATGAATACTGAGGAGAACAAATATTAAGAAACAGGATTATTATGTACAGAAAATGCAAAATCTCTAATACACAAAGTTTCTGTTGTATCACGTAAAGGAGTAAAGTAATCAACTGTGGTAAGCAGCTGTAGTCGGAAGGAGCTAGTGTAGTTAGCAGTTAGCAGTAATAGCACTTAAATATTAGTCCTAATGTCTTTAGTGTCTTTAATGTCTGTACGCATTTAGAAGTCTTCCTTTGTCTCATATCTTGAAGTGACAGTTAAACTGACGTCCTCAGAAAGAAGCGCAGCTTTGCTTGCATGTCTCTGGTGGCCCGAAGTGCTGTCAAAACAATATCTTATTGCTGCTCTCCCAGGGCTTCTGACAAGTGTCAGATTCTGCCCTCAAATGTCACTCCATTGCCTATTTGGGGCCATATATGCATGCTTTTGAGAACAGTTACTGCAGTTGCAGGCATTTTACTGCTGTTTGCTTTTTCCAGAGTTTGTCCAGAAACAGCACCACATGGAGTTTTCTCTTGGGATAAGATTGTAGAATGACCTACTGACTCCTGACCAGTCCTTATCCCATTACTCCTAGTCTCCTAGTCAGTCTCAGAGACTGCATATCAGTTCTACAGTGCATGGCTATATCAGATCTGTACCATAACTTCAAACTGAAAATTAGTGATGTTGTCTTGTCGCTTTTGAAAAACAGGTAGTCATTTAGTGTGATGCAGTGTACAGTATTTATTAAAAAGGCCAAACATGTCTTCACTTTGTGCCAACATACTTAATTGTAGTAACCTTAAGCTTGTGTTGCCGAGTTCGAACTCTGATTTGTGACGTGTTCGAGAAGTTTCTTTGTCTGGCAAATATTTGTTTACAGATGTGCTTTTAGGGGATTCTTTCTGATTAATTGTGTTTTGTGTTACTGTCATTCTGTATGAAGTAAGAATGTGAATGTTGCATATGTATTTGTACATGTATATGAAGTGTTTCCTATGGTCTATAGCTCTTGAAAAATAAGCAGAGCTTTAATAAACTCTTGACTTTTTCACCTTATTGTTGCCATGATAAATGACTGTCAGACAGTTAATTAATTGTTGTAAAGCTGCGGCATGGTGGTCCGCTTGTGCATGTAGTGCCCTCTGTCATCTGTGATTTATCGCCTGCGAAGGGGCCTTGTTGGTGGAGGTGGGGGCAGAGGAAATATTGCTTCTTGGCCTACGTAAAGTTTCAGCAGATGTGGTTGATTGTGTTATTGCAGTGACAAAATTTTTACGAAACAAAACAAAGACGGTAAAAAAGAAAAAGTAACTACAAACCTTCTATTTGTGGGATGTTAATGTTTTCTTTTTCGGTTTTCATACTACAGAAAATCGTCCACGTTCACAATTAGGTCCGTGGTTGGACAAGCCGAACAATGAAAAAAAGATTAAGAACAAAAGACCCTGAAGTCAATAAACTTGTTGCTAACTGTACATTAACTGTAACATAGCATACATGTTGTTATTAAGCCAGCTGATGTCTTTCTGTAATAGGATGCAGATATGTCATAGGCCTAACGTTGGCATACAAGTGATTATTATCATTACGGAGCAGTAAGTCAAATACAGGCCACTAGAGAGAATACAGAAATGTGTGAGAACCTTGGGCAAAAAGATGGACACAGCCACTATGACAACATTCTTTGATTTGTAAAGTCACTATATTGTAGGCTTTTGAAATGTATTTTTTAAAATTTATTTATTTATGAGACAAAATGACCATATTTGGGCAAGCGAGTGGAATACTATCAGCTAACACTGCCTTGTTTGGACACACATAGTTGTTAGTCGGCCAGTGCTGCGGTGAAGTGGTTAGTGCTACGACCTCAGAGCAAAAAAGGTTCTTGGTTCGAACCCCACTTGGAACCGTTTTTGTGTAGTACAGGTATTGCAGCTTTCACAAAGAATATGAATTTTTTGCTAAATGAAGTTTGTATTCTGAAGTGCTTTGAGTGGTCAGTAAGACTAGAAAAGTGCTATATAAATCGCATTACATTTCATAATCAGTGCAAAACCTGGACCACATGTTTCTCGGATACTGTGTTAATATCATTAGTTTCACATCGAGCCGTATTGTTTATCAGACACTACTAGAACAAACTGGCTGAATCAAAGCATTTCATTCATAGGACCTATGTTCCTTCCTCCCTCCCTCCTTGCACGTCTCTGTGTTTGAGAGAATGTATGTATAAAAAACTTCAAACTCGGGTCATCTACCAGAGGTTTGGAAGCTTGAGGGTCCTACACAGTATGTTACCTGTTCTTAGACTGTGCTCTTCTGGACAGATGTCTCGGAATCACTCGCCCAGCTTGGCTCACTGCCCTGCATGCTCCGATTACCACAGAGACCACTGTTACCTTTACCTTCCACATCTTCTGGAGCTCCTCTCTTAGCGCTTGGTATTTCTTGAGATTCTTGTTTTTCTTCTTTATGTTTCTATCACTTGGTATGGCTACATCTATCACTACGGGTT